ATAATCATTCAAAATTTACTATCGTTTATATAGATGATGTACTTGTTTACTCTACCTCCATATATCAACATTTTCATCATCTAAACACACTTTTAAACATAATAAAAAAAACACGGTTTAGTCGTCTCAGCAAAGAACATGTCTTTATTCCAAACAAAAATAAGATTTCTAGGACATAATATATATCAATGAACTATAACTCCCATATCAAGATCAATAGAATTTGCTAATAAATTTTTTGACGAATTACGAGAAAAAACACAATTACAAAGGTTTTTAGGATGTCTAAATTATGTTTCAGACTTCCTACCAAATCTCCAAAAAACTATACAACCTTTATTTCAACGTCTTCAAAAAAATCCTAAACCATGGACCAATGTTCATACTCAATTAGTCCAACAAATTAAACATAAAGTCAAAACACTTCCATGCCTAACTATACCAAATCTTGAAGGCAATATGATTGTTGAAACTGATGCTTCAGAAATAGGATATGGCGGCATTCTTAAACAGAAACTTCCAGGATCTACTCACGAATCCATAGTTCGTTTTCATTCGGGAGTCTGGTTAGGACCCCAAAGAAATTACTCAACAGTTAAAAAGGAAGTACTATCTATTGCTAACTGCATTTCAAAATTTCAAGATGATTTAATCAACAAAACATTTATACTACGTGTTGACTGTAAGTCAGCTAAAGAAATACTTAAAAAAGATGTTAAAAACTTAGTATCCAAACAAATATTTGCCCGCTGGCAAGCTATACTATCTGCATTCGATTTTGATATTCAATATATTAAAGGTGAAAATAATTATTTACCAGAATTTCTAACAAGAGAATATTTGCAGGGCAAATCCATAGATACTCAACAACGTATTCAAGATGGCTGACAAAAAGAACAAGCGACCGATGACTGCATCGGATTACGTCAAAAATCAACCACATCTCCAAGGGAAACCCTTGACTATTCAAAACCCATATTCAGCCCTTGCTGAATTTCCACCATTATCAAACTCAAAGGCTGTAGCCTCAGACAAAGGTCAAACCTCTCAAACTATTCAAGAACCTCAACAGAAATCAACATATATTCTCAAAACTCAAAAACACCATATCCAAACTACCCATTTTATTGAACCAATTAAACTCAGAGAACTTCAAGCCTATACAAACCGAATCTTTTATGAAGATTGCCTTTATCCAACCGATAATCTCACCAAAAACCGTACTTTCTACGAGTATATTCTGGTAGACTCCAAATCTATCGAAGTTACTCATTACCCGGATAAAACTAACCCAAATGTTATATCATACTCAACATGCAAAATACTTCGTATAGCTTCTATACAAGACCTTGGTTTATTAAACCTACATACTACAACAAACTTTTCAACACCCGGATTCTTACCATCCGGCTACTCCTATACAGATTATCAAAATGCCTTTTTTCCGATTTCTCTACCTCAGACCATATGACCATTCATGGTTCTTTTCATTTGACCACAAATTTAATAAATTCGTCCCAGGATGGTTCAATGAATGGTGGCATTCGTTCGGACCATGCGACCAAATATACCCACCTGAGCTACTCAAAACAGCCTATCCATACTACCTCAAACACATACCCAAAAAGACCTTAGGTCCTTACCAAAAAATCATTTTCCACGCAGATATGGGTATACCATGGATCTGTTCGTGGTACTTCAATCTTATTCTAGCCTTACCTGATATGCCATATTCCCTCGTCAAAGAATACCGAGTTAAATGGTGGGATAAGTACAATCTCGATCGTTGCTCCTTATCCAATATTCAAAAAAATTTCAATAGTCTTCGACAAGACTATCATCTTGTCCAATCTATATCCAAATCTATCCCCTTACTCACCCCTAGTCAACTCACCAAACCTTCACCAACATCAACACCAGCCAAACCACCAAGCCCAACCAAATCCTCAAAATCAACAAGCTCCACCTCCTCACGGAGGCATAAAAAAAAGGCAAAGTTACAGCAAGCCCTTCAAACACTTAATCAGGAGCTCCTCGCTTCTTCTGATGACGAGGAAAGTATCCATAACGAGGACCACTCCAACACTGAAGAAGATCCTTTCGGTGGTCCCTTAGGTCAAGATCTTTTTGCGGATATACAATTGTAAATATATATATATAAACCCCTAAATTTTCCGACTCACTGATAAGTTTGATGTTCCAGGCAGCAAGTCCTCCAAGGCAGTAAGTCCGTTGGCAAGTCACCTTTGTGAAACCCAAAATTTAGGACAAATATCTATATATATAAAAATAAATAAAAACCCTAATAGTATTGTATAATTTTTACTTTTCACTCATAATTTCCGAATAATGTATATTCTGGTAGACTCTGTATATTATTTTACCTTTATTTTCAAAAAAAAAATATATGTATCGGTAAACTCTTTATTCTATAAAATAAAATACAGAGTATATTCTGGTAAACTCCAAATCTATCGAAGCTAGGATATTAAGATTCAACTAAATCTTACTAATAACACTACGTGGATCCAAAATGAAATGAAGAAAGAATATCCAACCACTATACCATCATGAAAAAAAGAACAAACTACACAAACACGAATTTTTACTAGAAAAGACGTAAAATCTATTTTGAAATATGAAATATGAAGGGGTAAACGAATTCTCGCTATGCAAAACAATCACCAATCTTGTTTTTGATATTAACATGAATCTTTTGTCATGTTTATAACAATAAAATCAAACTTTCGAAAAATCTAATGGGTTTTCACCTATGAGATTTTGGTATTTTCGACTATTTAGAAACAGATGGCATAGTAGCTAGGACATTAAGATTCAACTAAATCTCACTAATAACACTATGTGGATCCAAAATGAACTGAAGAAAGAATATCCAACCACTAGACCATCATGAAACAAAGAATAAACTACACAAACACGAATTTTTACTAGAAAAGACGTAACATCTATTTTGAAATATGAATTATGAAGGGGTAATCACCAATCTTTTTTTTTACGTTAACTTGAAACTTTAGTCACGTTTATAACAATAAAATCAAACTTTCGAAAAATCTCATGGATTTCCACCTATGAGATTTTGGTATTTTCGACTATTTAGAAACAAATGGCATAGTAGTTAGGACAACATGTAAGCTAAGCGTTTTGCCCGGATTAAGTAAAGTTACAATAAAGTTTCAGAAAAAAAAGAAGGTAAAGTTACGATATCAATATATGGAACATATAATGTAACTATTGATACCTATTTTAATTAAATTCTATATTTAGCATATAACTCAATATTAATTGGTTAATAATTCAATCCAATATTTTTAAAAGATAAGATTAAGTTTATTCAATTTTTAACAATTTAAAATTAATTTTCTCAAAATTTGGTAAACAAATATAGATAATTTTTTTTTAGCTTTTAAAGGATAATTTGTCATATATTAATCTCACTTATTTGTAAACAAATGTTTTAATCTTATTAGTGTCACTATTGTCCAACAACAATTTGAATGTCACTTAGGGTGAGACGATTCCAGATATCCTGGAATTTCAAGGTATCCGAATCCGGATCCGGAATCGTCGGATCCGTGGAAAAACTATCCAGATCCGAATCCGTGACCCCCGGATATCCGGGCTCTAGATATCCGCCCAAAAATCAGGATATCCGCGGATATCCGGATCTGGATCCGAAATTAGTATTAAAAATAATAAAATAATTAATAAATAAGTAAAAATATATTTTTAATTATTAGTTAATATTTTAAATGGTGTTTTTCATTATACATATAATTTATTATAAAAAAAAACTAAAATCAATTTATATATTTATGTAAAATTAGTTTAATAGATATATAATATATATGTTTTGTATATTTAATGCG